GTGGCCGCGTGCGGAGGAGCGGCGGTGCAGCGGTTAGCGCTACGCGAGTCGAGGGAGTGAAGGTTGTTACTGTGTGTGTGTGTAGCTTAGTGGTTAAAGCACTGCGCTGTGAACCCTGGCGACCCGAGTTCGATTCCCGCTCATGGCCAACACCAGTGACGATTATATGATCCGGTCCTGGGCCTCCCCCTAGGTCGGCTCGGCCTCAAATGAGTACCTGGTCCGGTGTGTAAAAACATCGCCACTGGGGAGACAAAGGCGGCCGGGCGTAGTGCTGGCCACCCACCCCCTCGTGTGCCGTGCCGGCTTTCATAGATGCTAACAGTTTGTTCAGGCTATACGGGGGATCTTTGTTTTTGTGTGCGCTGCCAGCGGGCGTTTGACACTTCACGTGGCCTTAAAGTGCACATAGCCTGGCACAGGTGCCGTGGTGACGTCACGGTCACTGACTGACGAATGGCGGTGGTTGTTGTTGTTGTGTACGCTTTTACGCTTATGTAGTTGTGTACTCTTCGTGGTGAGTCCTTGTGTGTGTCCGTGTATGACGACATGCCCGTGTGTTGGTGTTAATATGCACAAGCGTGGGGGCTTTTGCGTGTGTCTGTGCACATGATGGGAAGCGGTAGAGTAGTGGTTAGCGCGCTGCGTTACCAAACCCGGTCACCCGAGTTCGATTCCCGCTCACAGGGGCGAATCTACGAACCTATCCTGGGCCTCCCCTAGGTCGACTCAGCCTTAAAGTGATTGTCCGTTTCGATGCGTGAATGTCAGCATTCCGGTGACGAAATCGACCTGGGCGTGGTGCTGACCACCCATTCCCTCGTGCGCCGTGGCAGCTTTACTTAATAGGTGCTCGCTAACAGCACTTGTCCAAACATTCTGTTCAGGTGAGGCTATGGGGAGGGAGGTGGGCGGTGGGGGGGGGAGAGTCATTGCCCGTGTGCGTGTGTAGGTATGTATGTATGTACGTGTATACGCGTGTACGTGTGCACGTGTTGCCTGTGTGCCACGGGGCGGGGAGAGGTCAGCCGCTTGTTGTTTGTGATGCCCCGCGTCTCGCGTGACCGGGGCTCTCGGGTTTGCGTGCGAAGCTCCGGCTCTCAGCAGCAAACTCCCCCCCCCCTCTCTCCCTAGAGCTGTGGGGGCAGCGAGGGACCCCCCCCCCCTCCTCCCCCCCTAAGTGGGGGGGAGGAGGGGGGGACAGAAGGGGGGTGGAAGATTGGGTGGCGGACGGCTCCACAAGTGATTACATTACCGCTGACCCCGGTGCAAGGGCTGCCCAGATGACCTCGCGGTGGACAAGAGGATGGCGAACGGCGTCGTTCGTTTTAGAAATCGGTTCACTCCGTGGGACAAAAAAACCCCGTGGCATTCAGTCGTTCGGTAAACTCGCGCGCGCGTCCCGTAGTTCACAATTGAGCCGCAGCTGAATTAGACCTTGGGCTCTGAGTCTCTTGCCCACGAACATTGGTGCTCTGTGGCAGTAGGGAACCCAGCAAAACATGGCAAGGTCGGCCAAGGTTGAGTGGAGCAGAGGTCAACTTGATTAGACACACACACATGTATATATGGCGCTGTGATATCCGCTTCCATGGACCGTTCTCTATGAATGGAATCTTGTTCATCTTGTGACATGGCGTCGATTTGCACAATCAGGAATACAATTGGTACAACATTTAATTGCCTGTTAATTCAGCAGCAGCTTCTTCTCAGTCTCCGCTCGAGGTGCGTCGTGGTGCTGGCTATCCAACCCCCTTGTGTGCCGTGCCGGCCTTCATACTCGCTAACAGCACTTGCCCCAACAGTCTGATAATGCGAGACGGGTGGTCTTTGTCTTTGTGCGCAATGCACGTGTGACTTGACACCCAGATGGGATTATTCTGGTAAAAAATAAACTTACTATTAAATAACCTTCATTTAAACAAAAAATATGGTAAGTGTTTTGATTTGTGTTGGGAGTAAACTGGAGCATGATGATGATGATTATTATTATTGAATGATTACACTATGTAACACAATTTGTATTCCTGGTTAGTGTTATTTCGTAATTGCTTATGCCTAAAAAGTATAGAAAATGACTATTATTCCCCACAAACTTTGCTTTTGTGACCAGGACAGTGATATTTTGAAATTGACCTATTTTCAATGAGAGAACGGGCGAATTTGTGTCTTTTCGTTCACGTAAAATTATTTAAAAAACAACATATTAATCAACATTAACATGTATTTATACTAAAGTAATACAAACATGACTACAAAAGATTTATAAGTGAGTAGTTTTTCGAGATTTACGATTATACTGTAAATCACTTTCACGAATCAGCCCCCAAATGTAGTCTCCCATCATGTTCTCGTTATACTGTCCTTGGTAGCGACATTCAAAGTCCAGTATATCCTGGTGGAAGCGCTCGCCTTGCTCCTCCAAGTACGCTCCTATGTTCTTCTTGATTTATCAAGATGAGCATCAAGGATATGGGCTTTGAGGGACATCCTACAACCCATTGTGCCGTAGTTCTTCACCAGAGTCTCAACCAGCTCCACGTAGTTTTCGACCTTGTGATTGCCCAGGAAGCCACGAACCTCTGCGGACAAAGCTGTCCCAAGCCGCTTTCTCCTTACTAGTGAGCTCCTTGGGGAATTCATTGCATTCCAGGATCTTTCTTTATCTGTGGTCGGACAAAGACACCGGGTTTGACCTTTGCCTGAGACAGTTTAGGGAAGCAGTCTTGAAGGTATACTTGAAGGCTGCCGACTTCTTATCTACAGCTCTGACAAATTGTTTCATGAGGCCCAATTTGATGTGCAGTGGTGTCATCAGCACCAGTGGCTCCCACTTGACGTTGTTCCTCCCCACAGAGAACTCGGTCTGCTGTGGCCAGTCCCGTCTGTGGTAGTGCGCCTTGGTGTCCCTGCTGTCCCAAAGGCAAAGATAGCAGGGAAACTAGGTAAAACCGCCTTGGAGACCCATTAGGAATGCCACCATTTTGAAGTCCCCGATGACCCCCCATCCATACCCATCATTCAAGGCGTCCAGCAAGGTCTTGATGCTGTTGTAATCCTCTTTGAAGTGCACCGAGTGAGCCAGGAGAAGAGACGGGTACTTGTTACCATTATGGAGCAGCACGGCTTTGAGGCTCCTGGGTGACCTGTCAATGAAGGGGCGCCACTAATTCTGGTTACAGGCGATTCCGATTTCCTCGAACAGACTGGTCACATTGTGGCAGAAGCAGAGCCCATCTTGACGGGTGAAGAAGCTGCAAAAAGTTGGTGACGCTTCCTCTGATCTGCGACTTGCACACTTTTATCCAACAAGTTCCACGACTTGAGCCTAGACGTCAAAAGCTCAGCATTGGACTAGGTGAGACCAAGATCTCTGATCAAGTCGTTGAGGTCTTTTTGGTTGTGGAAGTATGGGTTTCTCTCCTCAGCTCCACCTCTGAAATTGTCATCTGGATCTACGTCTTCCTCGATCTCTGATTTGCTGCTGAAAATGTCTATCATTCCCTGCAAACTTTGATTTTGTGACCAGGACAGTGATATTTTTAAATGTACCTATTTTGAATGAGATAACGGGTGAATTTGTGTCTTTTCGTTCACATAAAGTGAGAAAAAAATCAACATATTAACATGTATTTATATTAAAGAAATACAAAAATGACTACAAACGATTTAGACACCAAGGGGCACAACCACAGGTGGGACTGGCCACAGCGAACCGAGTTCTCTGTGGGGAGGAATAATCTCGAAAAACGACTCACTTCTAAATATTTTGCAGTAATTTTTTGTAGTACTTTAGTATAAATACATGTTGATTTAGATTCATATGTTGTTTTTTCTGACTTTATGTGAAAGAAAAGACACAAATTCGCCTGTTTTCTCATTGAAAATAGGTACATTTCTAAATATCACTATCCTGGTCACAAAAGCAAAGTTTGTGGGGAATAATAGACATTTTCTGTTCTTTTTAGGCATAAGCAATTGCGAAATAACACTTACTACCCAGGAACAAAAATTGTGTAACATAGTGTAATTAAAGGTTGTTGCTGCTGCTGTTGCTACTGCTGCTGTTGCTGCTGCTGTTGCTGCTGTTGCTGCTGCTGTTGCTGCTGCTGTTGCTGCTGCTGTTGCTACTGCTGCTGTTGCTGCTGCTGTTGCTGCTGCTGCTGATTTTGTTGCATCGAGGCACCGCAAGAAGCCTGCTCAAACCTCCCACGTGACTCTCAAAACATGATTTCCCTCCGCGAACAAACGCACCCCTAACATTATGAAAGTGCCCTCACGTTCGCCCGCATTGTATATGCCACGTAAACACGCGAGTGAGTCCTTTGGCTTTAAAAATTCGGCAGAGCCTCTGAATGCCTTTGGATACAAAGACTCACGCAACAAAGACAAACCCTTCCCAGCAACCCCCCCTATAGCGTTAACAGACTGTTGGGGTCAAGTGCTGTTAGCGAGTAGCAGCACCGATGAAGGCCGGCACTGTGGCACACGTGGGGGGGAGGGCGAGGGGAGGCCACACCATCACCGGCCGCTGTTGTTTACGCACTAGGCACTCGTTTGAGGCTGAGTCGACCTAGGGGGAGGCCCAGGACCGGATCAAACATTTCGCCGATGCCATTGGCCGCGAGCGGGAATCGAATCCGGATCGCCCGGGTTCGCGGTGCTGTGCGCTAACCACTGCGCCACCGCTCCTCTACGTATGCACGCACTCATTCGCTTCGTAACAATATCCATTGCTGGTTCAGAAAATGAAATTGCTGCAATGTTAAAACGTCTCATAATGGAGGGAGGTGGGGGGGGTGTTCGCTCTGTAGAACAATAACACACGCAGCCTTTTGTCTGCTGGCGCCGAGTTTGGGGAAAAGCAATTCCCCATTGCAAAAGCTCACTTTACATACCTTAACTCAATAATAATAATATCATCATAATCATAATAATAGTCATATGACTTGTGTGCATTTGAACAATCAACCCTTATGACTCAGCCAGCGTGGGGAGGCTTTCGTCCAGCGGTGTATTGATCATGGCTGTAATTATGATGTTAGTATGATTATTATTACCATATTGACTGCATGTTTATGCCTTCCTCCGGCAGTGGACAAATCATGGCTGGAATTATTATTTTACTTTATCATCATCATCATCATCACATTGACTGCATGTTGATGCCTTCATCCGGCAGTGGCTAAATCATGGCTGGAATTATTATTTTACTTTATCATCATCATCACATTGACTGCATGTTGATGCCTTCATCCTGCAGTGGCTAAATCATGGCTGGAATTATTATTTTACTTTATCATCATCATCATCATCACATTGACTGCATGTTGATGCCTTCATCCGGCAGTGGCTAAATCATGGCTGGAATTATTATTTTACTTTATTATCATCATCACATTGACTGCATGTTGATGCCTTCATCCAGCAGTGGCTATATCAATGCTAAAATTATTATTTTACTTTATCATCATCATCACATTGACGGCTTGGTGAGGCTTTCACCCAGCAGTGGATCGATCATGACTCTTACTGCTGCGACTTGTTTTGATGATTATTTTTTTTGTCAAATCTTTATAAACATTCATTCCGGCTTCAGTAATTGTGTTTCATGTGACAAATTCACGCCGCCGTGACATGTTACAGCGGGAAACGGAGCAATTATAAAATTGTGAAAGCAGGCAGCGGATTGGTTAAGCTGGCCTTCATCCAGCAGTGGATCGACGGTGGCCAATGATCATGATGACGGTGGAGGGAATTCGTAATAGATGACTGGGTTTGTATTACAAAATGTATTTTTTTTTAAAGCGACATCTTCGTCTTTCGACAGATGCCACGCGAATTAAAGTAATTGACGTGTGATAATATTGGCATTTTGTGAAATTGATCAAGCGCGTTAAGGTCATCTCAAGTCAATATTATAACATGTTATCTGTACTTTAGATGCAGCGTATGTTTATATATACAGTACTTATATACGCGGTATTGTGTACTGTTGTAACAAGTGGATTGGCTCTCCGCCGCTTTCTCTCGGCTCTACCGTCACACTCATGGCCTGCGTCGTTTGCCGGTGACCCAACACTGGACGTTGTTTTCTCGCCCTCGTTCGGGAGCGTTGGTTCAGATTTCTCGCAGCTCACTCGATCACGATCAGCAACGTCCACGACACGTTCATGGATACGACGCCAAGAGCAGTGAGGAACGGTGGGGGGGAGCATTCGGGGGTCGGGAGTCGAACTCGGGTCACCGTTCCCCGCGTCTGCCTCCGACGCGCCTGCCTCCACGGAGCTATGCAAACGACTGCAACAACAAATAACAAGAACACGAAGACCTTTAAATATCACGGCTACACGTGCGAGATAGAAACAACTACGCGTGCAGAATATATATAAAAAAACACACACAATGTGTCAATTCGATCGGGATTTTTTTTGTATATAGCGTCTATAATTCGGTGTGTACATATTGGCACTAGGGAGACAAAGGCGGCCGGGCGTGGTGTTGCCTACCCACGCCGTGCCGGTCTTCATAGGTGCTCACTAACGGCACGCGTACAAAGACAAAGATTCCCCGTATAGCCTTAACAGAATGTTGGAGCAAGTGCTGAAAGCGAGCACCTATGAAGGCCGGCACGGCACACGAGGGGGTGGGTGGTCAGCACCACACTCGGCCGCCTTTGTCTCCCTAGTGGCGATGTATTTTACACATCGCACCAGGTACTCATTTGAGGTTGAGTCGACCTAGGGGAGGCATAGGACCGGTTCAGATAATCGTCACTGGTGTTGACCGTGAGAGGGAATCGAACTCGGATGGCCGGGGTTTCGTAGCTTAGCGCGCTAACCGCTACACCACCGCTGCCCCCCCACACACACACCCACACCAGTGCACACACACACATACACATCAGTACACACATACACCCCAGTGCACACACACATACACATCAGTACACACATACACACATACACCCCAGTGCACACACACATACACATCAGTACACACATACACACATACACCCCAGTGCACACACACACATACCAGTGCACACACATACACACCAGTGCACACACACACACATACACACCAGTACACACACACACATACACACCAGTACACACACACACACATACACACCAGTGCACACACACACACATATACACCAGTACACACACACGCACATACACACCAGTACACACACACATACACACCAGTACACACACACACATACACACCAGTGCACAGATACAACAACGCTCATACACACCAATACACACACACAAATTGCGAAGACACCAATACACACACAAATACAACAACACGCAAACACACCAATACACACACACATACAAAAAAAATCACACGCAACAACAATGTACCTACACAAAAATACCCGATGCGGTTTGTACAAAAAAGCAATGCATTGATTCCATGCTGGCTGTAAATCACGCACTCCCAAAAACGCCGTGCGGCTGTTGACATCATCATTTGTGTGTCGAGACGGATAGAGCACACTTAGCAATGTATCAAGTAAGGCTTGATACAGCAATCGTGCTGTGACGGTTCCACCTGAAGACGGAAGCTTGTGTTGCCTCCGAAACGTCGTGATTTTTATTTTATTTTTTATTAATTTCAAATTTAAAATTTTACCTACGTGACTTTACCGAAAAAAAACTAAGAATATAAATCAATGTGTTGTTATTTATATTTTCCACGACGAGGCTAATGTTTATATTTCATGCAACGGCGACCCGTGGTGATTGAGTCACGTGAGCAGCACGCGTTCTCGTTGTGTGCACGTCGCTGAGTCTATGTGTGTGTCTGTGGTTCTCTGAATGTTGTTGTCTTCGTGCGCTGTTGTGGTGTGTTGTTGTTGTGTTGTGTTAGTGTGCTGTTTGTGACTGTGTGCGCGTTTCTGTTTTGTGTGTGTGTATGCTGTGGTGGCTGCGTGTTAGTGTGCTGTTTGGAATGTTGTGATTTGGGTGTGTACTCATATTTTGTTGTGTACTTCAGAATAATTTGTGTAGTGGTGTGTGCGTGTGTGTGTACTGGTGTGCTGTATGTTGTTTTTGTGTCCTCGTATTTTCCGTGTCGGCCTTCATAGGTGCTCGCGAGCCGGGGATCTTTGTATCCTGTATATTGTCTATTTTTTGTGCACTAGTGTTTGTGCGTTGTATACTTTAGTATTTGTGTATGTATACAGGCGTGTGTAACAACACTTCGCCCAACAATCTATCAAGGCTATAACGGGGAATCTTTGTCCGTGTATACTGCTTTATTTGTGTGTTCGCTTTCCGTTTGCGGGTGTCTCTGGATTTCAAAATAAGCACAAAGTGTGTCTCCGCGTGTGCCTGCTCATCTCCGTCTGTCTGTGCCACACGTGCAGATTTTTACACGGCCATTATTTATTGTACATCACGTGAGATGCCTTACAATGATCGCTGTGCGTTTCACGAACGGATCGTAGACAATCACGTCGAAACAATCAGCCTACGTTTGAATTAAATTAACGCCTGGTGGGGGGGGGGGGGGCGGAGTCCTGAATATGAAACGAATGCTTCGTTTTTTTTACGTTGCGATTTTCAGAACATGACAATAACGTATATTTAAGCATTTAAATACAAAGACAATGTTCTCACCCGTGTAGCTTTTAACAGACTGTTGGTGCAAGTGCTGTTAGCGAGCACCTATGAGGACCGGCAAGACACACGAGAGAATGGGTGGCCAGCACCACGCCCGACCGCCTTTGTCTCCCTAGTGCTGATGTTGTTTTTACCCATCGCACCAGGGACTCATTTAAGGCTGAGTCAACCTAGGGGGAGCTGCCGGTTCAAGAATTCTCGGCTGTTATTGAGCGTGAGCGGGGATAGAACTCGGGTCGCCGGATTCGTAGCGACATCCGCTAACCACCACGCCACCACTCCCCATGAGTGTACATACACACAAATATTAATTACATAATCGTTAACAAATAGTCTGCATCCTGTAACACAAGCTACAAATGATCAACAATACTGAGATGGACACAGTTTAAGAGGTTTCGATTTAAAGCTTTCGTGACTGCAAGGATTTATCTTCTTGGTTCATTCGGTAAAGTCACGTAGAAGGTAAATAATAAAAATAAAACATAATAAAATATTAATAATGATTTTATTATGTTTTATTTTTAATAATTATTTTATTATGTAGTATTTTTTATTATTTTATCATTTCCCTTATTAATAATAAATGTACTATGTTTTATTTGTATTATTTTATTATTTACCTTCTACGTTACTTTACCGAAAGAACCAAGAAGAGGAGTTTAAGAGGTGTTAATAAGAGCCCTTCATCATCATCAGCCATGGTCAATCCACTGCTGGATGAAGGCATCGGTCAGCCGCCACCACCACGTCACACGATGTAATCGATACTCCTGCAGCAAGCGGCAACCTACGCATGAGCTGATTCCATCGCTCCGTCTCCCAGTTGGAGGTCCACCAAAGACCACGACGATGAAGGGCAACTTGATGAAGTGAATATGTGTCCCTTAATGTTTCAATGTCCAAGGACGCACACACACACACAGACACACCGAGTGAACGTCGTTTTGCAACGGGAGTGCCGCGAGGTGAACATCCTAGCGCGAGCGGCATCCCCAGCGGACCGCGTGAACGACTCTTCGTGTTTCACGCGCGGCACGTCGAACGAGACACGCGTGACACCCCCCCCCCCTCTGCCCAGCCCCCCGCAACAATAAATAGACTTGTACATATTTTCATTGGCAGAAATACAGCAACATCATCAACTTGAGTAATCAAACAAGCGCCCTCCCGTTCACCCCCCCATCCCCACCATGTAATGAAATCCTCAGCTGTACATCATCGTGATGGGCACAGAAAGCAGACGCGTTGCTCTTGCAGCAATCGACATCGATAAATCTCGTCGCGATGTTCGCACGCGGTTGGTTTTACAGACGCTTTGCTCCCTCCCCCCCCCAAATAAGGTCCCCCCCCTCCCCACGTGCTCGTGGTTCTTGGGTGACAACATCACACGGATTCGTCGTCGTCATCATCGCCACCATCTATACGGCCACAGGACTGCTTCCGTATGTGTGTGTGTGTCTCTGTGCGTGTTTGGTTTGTTGTCATTCACGCGCACCTCCGGTGAACACGGTTGGCCACGTAAGGTGACCGAAAGAAGTTCAACGAACATACAACGTCGTCGTCGTCATGGACCTTGGTCAATCCACTGCTGGATGAAGGCCTCCCTCCAACAAGCCGCCGGCCAGTCACACAATACGGGGCACGAGCTAACGAACGTACGACGCTCGCGTTACAAGCAGGAAATTACACTTAATAATCGTAATAATAATAATAACAACAACAATACTGTAGTAATAGGTTTTTACCCTTTCAACTGGTACAAAAACTGACACCTTTATACAAGGCATCATGTTTGCAATAACCACAACACAAGCAGTCAAAATGCAAACAAAAATAAACAACTCTGATGATGATAATGATATGCACTGTCCTTGAAGTTGATTGGTCCACACCCGAGACAGCTTTTCTTAGAGCCTAGTCTCCATTGGTGTTGGACCAGATGACGCCAAAAGGCGTACAACTCAAAAAAACAGCGCACTATCAGAGTATTGAGAGCTCGGGGTAAGCATTTACACTATGAGACCTCCTTTACCAGTGGCAAAATATAGTAGTAGGTTTTTAGAGTAGAACAACCATACTGCTATTACAAATAATTAAATCGATGCATTGAGTTGACTGGCTGGCTGCTGCCTGGGCTCCTCTGCACGCCAACTCGATTGGTAGTGGCTGCTGTGGGCCGTTGCCACCGACACGAGCTGGGCAACTGGCTACACTAATATGTGTGTTGAACTTCTTTCGCACCGTACATGCGAAACGGCGGACTAAAAGGTGTGCTTTATAACATAGAGGGGGGTTCTATGCACGTGTGTGTATTCATGTACGTGTACGTATCCATGTACGTGTGTGCATCCATGTACGCGTGTATATCCAGGTACGCGTGTGTATCCATGTACGTGTGTGTATCCATGTGCGTGTGTGTATATCGAGGTACGCGTGTGTCTGTAGCTATGCACGTGCACATACTCCCTTGAGCAGGAGAGAGTAGGCAGAGGAGCGCGCCGGGGGAGAGCCGTGATGGACCTCTCTGAGGACCACGACTCACCTCTCTCCACCCCCCCTCTCTCTCTCTCACCCCCCCCCCTCTCTCCGTCTTCCCTCTTTGCAGTCTCCCTCGAGGGTTTTTCTTTATTATTATTCTGCTGCTGCTGCCAAACTTTC